TGCGTACGCGTGCGTGCGTACGTGCGCGTGTGTATGTGCGTTCGTGCGTGCGCGTGCGTGCACATACGTACGTCGTCGCAGACGTGCGGGGAGGTCGAGCAGTAGGTGAGCCTCGCGAGCAGGTTCTGGCGGATGAGCTGCACGCTCTCCAGCGTGATGGCGCGACTGTTGAACAACTTCACGAACTCATCGTAGACGTTCACTCCGTCAGACTGATGCATCATCGTCGCGAACGCCGTCGTCGTCGCTGTCGCCGCTAGGAGGCAGCCGACGACCAGCAGGGCGAGCGACGCACGCGGACCTGCGGTTTTCATCTGGAACGAAGAGGAGATATGGTTATAGATGCAACTACACTCGCTATCGGTGGACCATGGTTAGTGTGAGAGGGAATGCTCATGGGCATATACATTCTTACAAGAGCTAATAATATAGAGGAAGCATTGGCTCTTGATTCTTTCCATCTGGACCGGAGAAGAGACGCGGTTATAGATAGTTGCACTCGCTATTGGAACACCATGGTTAGTGTGAACGGGAATACCCAGGTACACTCAAGTAGGCTGATTGCATGCTAGGCGGGTAGACAGACATACAGGTATATATGCCGGTGATCCGTTAGACTGTCTGGCAGGTAGGCAGATAGACAGCGGGCAGGCCAGCGGGCAGGTCATTGCCTTGCTTATAGTAACTGGCAACGTACCGCAAGCAACGAGCAAGCACGTTCCACGCCGTTAGAGCTGTTACACTTGTTAGAGCTGTTACAACATGTTCTGATTGCATCTATGACAAATACGACATTCGCATATACGCTCTGCTCTGACACTATTTGTCATAGGAAGATTCTTCTTATGACAAATATTGGCGAGTCAACTTCGTTCCGCTTTACAACTGAAATTCACTGCTTGCGTTTATAATAGCGCTCCTAAACTCCTATGATGCGCACAACACATACAACAATATTTGTCATAGGAAGAATCTTCCTATGACAAATAGTGTCATAGGAGAGCGTATAAATACTATGCGTATGTCGTATTTGCCATAGATGCTAGCAGTACAGGCTGTACCCTAGCCGCGTCGCACCTTGTCACGTACACACACGCGGCGACACGCGACATGACAGACGGCAGAAGACGTGACACGCGACACGAATAGCGCGTGACGATGGATGACGCAAACTAACGAGAAAGTAGTTGACCTTAGTCATTATATAATATTATCCAGAGCTAGTAATAGCTATTAGGTATTACTAGCTCTTGATATAATATAATATAACATATA